CCATGATGATCTTCCCACTTGTGAACAAAAACGGACCCATGTCAAGAGTTGTGTAAAGCTGTGAGGGGAAGCAAAGGCCTTCTCTAAAGAGCTAAGAAGATATTCCCGTCTCTTTTTCACTAATGTGTGTGTGCGTGTGTATGTGTGCATGTGTGTATAGTATTTAGTGTATTTTTATGATTGCAAAAGTAGTACATAATGACCATACTCTTTGGGAAACAAACAAAGATACAAAGTTGAATAGAAAAAAAAAAATCCATAGTTCCACAGCCAGAGAAAATATAGGTTACTTATGAACAGATAAATAAATTGTGACATATAAATCACAATTATATATGGAATATTACTCAGCAATAAAAAAGAATAAAAGATTACCATTTGCTACAACATGGATGGACCTAGAGGGTATTATGCTAAGTAAAATAAGTCAGATCGAGAAAGACAAATTGTATGATATCACTTATATGTGAAATCTAAAACAAGATAAAACAAATAAACAAACAAAATAAAACAAAAACAGACTGTTTTTAAACAGAACAAACTGATGATTGCCGAGGGGAGGGCGGCAGGGAAATGGTTAAAAAAGGTGATGGGGCAAAGATTAAAAATGGAGGCAAAGTAGAAGGATGCTGCATGGACATGCTCCCAGGAACAAGCTGGAATTACAACTGAAATACAGAAAGGCTTCCTGAATAATCAATGGAAAACTCACAGGAGAGTACCCTGATACCCAAGGACTGAAGGTGGAGACCGCATAGAGACTGGTAGGAGGGGCGGAGGCACGAAAGGGCTGGCCGGGCACCCACAGATGGCAAGTGAAGTCCCGGAAAGATAGCTCAGCTGTGTGTGTGTGTGTGGGGGGGGGGGGGGTGCCACTGAGAACTCTGGGATCTAATCCTGAAGCTGGGCTCCCCAGCAGAGAGCAACAAACTGAGGAGGGTACCCACATAACATCTAGCTGTGAAAAGCAGTGGGGTGCTATCTGCCAGGGAGTGGCAGCTGAAAGTTCAGGCACCCTCTTAAAGGGCCAATGCACAAAATTCCCTGTGGAACCACCCACCTTGTGCTCCGGCAGAGGGAGGGTGAAGGGGACTGGAGCTGTGAGAGCAGAAGCCAAGACTGGGGACTTGGGGGATAGAACTCAGAAGGCAGACACCCCAAGTTTTCTGGGCTGAGTCATTCCCTCACATGGCAGAGGACATCTTTCTCACATAGACATCTGGCTTGCCTGGGGGGAAGGCAGTCAACACAGCCTATTGGAAAACATCTTGCCCTGAGGCCACTTAAGATAGTAAAAGTAACAATTTGCCTCCAGGCAGAAGCAGCTGCCCCACCCTGTTGAAAAAACTCTCGGAAAAACCAAGATGGCGGCATAGGTAAACACCGGAGATTGCTGCCTTGCATAACCACTTCAAAAATACAACTAAAAGACGGAACGGACATCACCCAGAACCACAGGAAGGCTGGCTGAGGGGAATTTTTACAACTAGAAGGAAAGAGAAAAGCATACTGAGACTCAGAGGAGGCGCAGTGCGGAAGTAAAATACAAAGGTACAGAGCGGGCTGGCGGCTGAGAGCATGGTTGTCTGTTTCAATCGGAGGGAGTCTCAGGCTCTGAGCTCCAGTTCTGGGTGAGTCTCTGGGGACCCAGACTCAAACGGGAGAAGCAGGACTGTCTGGCATCGGTTGGAACTCGAGGGCAGCTTTCTCTCCGAGGTTTGCAGCGGTTGCTGGGACACTGAGAGGCAGAGCCTCTGGGGACGGGACTGAGAGCAGCCATAACTGCTCGCTCTGCCTGCCCTGTTGATCCCCTGGGACCCGCCCGGCCCAAGCCCTGCACAGAGGCATTTGCGAGATAGCCTCAGGCAAAGGCTAGATTAGCACCTCCCTAGAGGACAGAAGTTCTCCCACTGCAGACACAGCTGATTCTCACAGCCAGTTGGCCTGGAGGTCAAATCCCCCCCAGTATTACCTACAACAATCAAGGCTTAACTACAACAAGACTGCGTACAAAGACCACAAGGGGGTGCACCAAGAAAGCATAAAAAATGCGGAGACAAAGAAACAGGACACAAATGACAGAAATGGAGGATATAGAGTTCAAAACCACACTTTTAAGGTCTCTCAAGAACTGTCTAGAACAGCCGTGGGCAAACTACGGCCCGTGGGCTGGATCCGGCCCGTTTGAAATGAATAAAACTAAAAAAAAAAAGACCCTACCCTTTTATGTAATGATGTTTACTTTGAATTTATATTAGTTCACACAAACACTCCATCCATGCTTTTGTTCCAGCCCTCTGGTCCAGTTTAAGAACCCATTGTGGCCCTGAGTCAAAAAGTTTGCCCAGCCCTGGTCTAGAAGCTGCCGATAAATTTAGTAAGGCCCTTGAAAAGACTGGTGAGACCGCCGATAAATGTAGTGAGATCCTCAAGAAATCTAATGAGACCCTCAATGTTGTGATAAAGAACCAACTAGAAATTAAGCATACACTGACTGAAATAAAGAATAATATACAGACTCCCAACAGCAGACCAGAGGAGCGCAAGAATCAAGTCAAAGATTTGAAATGCGAAGAAGCAAAAAACACCCAACCGGGAAAGCAAAATGAAAAAAGAATCCGGAAATATGAAGATAGTGTAAGGAGCCTCTGGGACAGCTTCAAGCGTACCAACATCCGAATTATAGGGGTGCCAGAAGATGAGAGAGAGCAAGATATTGAAAACCTATTTGAAGAAATCATGACAGAAAACTTCCCCTACCTGGTGAAAGAAATAGACTTACAAGTCCAGGAAGCGCAGAGAACCCCAAGCAAAAGGAATCCAAAGAGGACCACACCAAGACACATCATAATTAAAATGCCAAGAGCAAAAGACAAAGAGAGAATCTTAAAAGCAGCAAGAGAAAGAAAGTCAGTTACCTACAAGGGAGTACCCATACGAATGTCAGCTGGTTTCTCAACAGAAACTTTGCAGGCCAGAAGGGAGTGGCAAGAAATATTCAAAGTGATGAATACCAAGAACCTACAACCAAGATTACTTTATCCAGCAAAGCTATCATTCAGAATCAAAGGTCAGATAAAGAGCTTCACAGATAAGGAAAAGCTAAAGGAGTTCATCACCACCAAACCAGTATTATATGAGATGCTGAAAAGTATCCTTTAAGAAGAGGAAGAAGAAGAAAAAGGTAAAGATACAAATTATGAACAACAAATACGCATCTATCAACAAGTGAATCTAAGAATCAAGTGAATAAATAATCTGATGAACAGAAAGTACTGGTGATTATAATAAAATCAGGGACATAGAAAGGGAATGGACTGACTATTCTTGCGGGGGGGGGGAGGGGAAGGGGTGTGGGGGATGCGGGAAGAGACTGGACAAAAATCGTGCACCTATGGATGAGGACAATGGGTGGGGAGTAAGGGCGGAGGGTGGGTTGGGAACTGGGAGGAGGGGAGTTATGGGGGGAAAAAAGAGGAACAAATATAATAATCTGAACAATAAAGATTTAATTTAAAAAAAAAGAAGAAGAAGAAAACCCAATTTTTCAAAATGGGCAAAAATTTGAAGAAAAATGTTATCCAAAATATTCTTATATATGGACATTCAGAAAATTTAGAATCAACATATTTATTTTTTCTTTATTGTTGAAAGTATTACATATGTCCCTTTTGCCCCCATTGACCCCTTCTAGCCCGACCCCCACCCAGGCCTCACCACCCTATTGTCTGTGTCCATGGGTTATGCATATATGTCTACAAGTTCTTTTGTTGATCTCTTTCCATCCACACACCCTCCCCTGCCTTCTCAGATTCAGCAGCTGTTTCCATACATGTATGTGTCTGGATGATGTAAACAAAGGAGGCCAAAAGCAATATCTCTTTCAGATGTTGTCTGGGTCATTGGTACTTCAGTTGCCACTTGCTGAGCTTTCTGAAATTCTTTTCCATACAAATCATATAACATCAGCCCCAACCATCTTATTCAGATCTTATCTAGTAACTGCTAGTTTTATAGCTTTCAATTGCTTTAGGGGAAATTGCTTTTTGGAGACAAGAAAGGAGTGTTATGATGTTTAGACTCAGATTAAATTACCTAAGTTTGAATGAGAATCCTGCAATAGACAGTTTACAACCTGATAAAAAATATATATTCATATAATTTTCTTATACAGAAAATAGCCTGAATTTTCACTATTGTTGAGAGTACCCGCAAATAAGAAGGGTGTTTGGATTGTGGGAAGCCAAAATGTCAGTTATCCATTGTGAACAGTGATGATGAAACACAGATCATAGCTTTTGCTTTTGTACAATAAATATTGTCTGACTTAACATGGTATTAAAAAGACATACTGGATGTGCTGGCTGGATCATCAGTGTTTTATTTTTGTTTTACTAGAGGCTCCGTGCACAAAATTTGCAGTCTGGGAAAGTAAATGAGTGGGACTATATCAAACTAAAAATCTTCTGCACAGCAAAAGAGCCTGGCAACAAAGCAAAATGGTGACAACCAATGGGAGAAGATATTTGCCAACAACACATCCGACAAGGGGTTAACATTCAAAATATATAAAAACATATACAACTCAACAACAACAAAAACAATCTAATTAGACAAATGGGCAGAACACCTGAATGAACACATCTCCCAAGAAGACATATCAAAGACTAATCCTATCTAATACAAGAGAAACATGGTAATTAGCTGTACATCCGCTACCCTTCCCATTGGCTAATCAATGAGATATGCAAATTAACTGGCAGACAAGATGGCGGCCGGCAGCCAGGCAGCTGGAAGCGAACATGAGGCTTGCTTGCTCCAGTGATGGAGGACTCCAACGTTCCCCGCCTGCCACTGCCGGCCTCTGAGCTTGCAGTTTGAAACATTGTTACAAATATAGAAGCTAAACAAAACCCCAGAAACCTGCTTTCAGCCAGCCGGGATCTCAGAGCTGGAGTTGATACAGTGTTTTAATTATAGAACCCAAACAAACCAGATACCTGCTTTCAGCAGCAGAGGCCTCAGAGCTGGAGCCAGAGCTAAAGCTGGTCTAGAATAAAAAAGAAAAAGAAAAAAAGGAGCAGTTGGGAGCTTCAGTCACCCGCCAGCCTGAAAACAGCCCTCAGCCCCTCATCCAGACTGGCCAGGCACCCCAGTGGGGACCCCCACCCTGAAGGGTGTGTGACCAGCTGCAAACAGCCATAATCCCCTCACCCAGGCTGGCCAGGCACCCCAGTGGGACCCCCACCCTGGACCAGGACACCCTTCAGGGCAAACCAGCCAGCCCCCACCCATGCACCAGGCCTCTATCCTATATAGTAAAAGGGTAATATGCCTCCCAAAACCGGGATCAGCGGAGCCGAGAGGCCTCCCGGCACCGGGACCAGCTTGACAGGGGGCAGCGCCCAAACCCCCTGATCACCCTGTGGCTCTGTGTGTGACAGGGGGTGAGGCCCCAACCCCCTGATCGGCCCTGCTCTGTGTGTGACAGGGTGCGGCGCCCCAACCCCCGCCCCCCCCCCCCCCACACACACACAGGCCCTGCTCTGTGTGTGATGGGGTAGAGCCATAACCTCCCCATCGGCCCTCCCTGAGTGTGACAGTGGCGGCGCCCCAACCCCCTGATCAGCCCTGCTCTGTGGGTGAGAGAGGGCAGCGCCCCAACCCCCTGATCCACCCTGCTCTGTGTGTGACAGGGGGTGGTGCTCCAACTTCCCTATCGGCCCTACTCTGTGAGTCACAGGGGGAAGCTCCTCAACCCCCTGATCGGCCCTGCTCTGTGCATGACATGGGGGAGCTCCCCAACCCGCTGATTGACCCTGCTCTGTGCGTGACAGGGTACGGAGCCCCAACCCCCTGATTGGCCCTGGTCTGTGCGTGACAGGGGGTGGCGCCCCAACTCCCCAATTGGCCCTGCTCTGAGCCCGACCAGGAGCTGCACCTAGGGTTTGGGCCTGCCCTCTGCCACCCGGGAGCAGGCCTAAGCCAGCAGGTCGTTATCTCCTGAGGGGTCCCAGACTGAGAGAGGCACAGGCCAGGCTGAGAGACCCCCCTTCCCCCCCAAGTGCACAAATTTTTGTGCACCGGGCCTCTAGTAGATATATAAGAAGATGCTCAACTTCACTAGCTATTAGGGAAATAAAAATCAAAACCACAACGTGATGTCACCTCAGATGGCCTTTTAATTGTACATCTGTAAAAAGATCCTGTTCGCCAATTAAAACTGATATATTTGGGTCATTTTTTTTTTCCAGTTTTCAAATTTTTCCAGTGTGTGCTTTGTGGAGAAACAAGTTTATTAGGATACTCCACCACTCACAAAAGAAAAAAACATGGTAAAAGATTTTGTGTTAAGTGGCTTGAGGAACACTGCATGACATACACTGCTCTAGGAGACTCACTGTGCAAATAAAGCCATGAAAGACTGAGGAAGCTTCGTAGTTAAACGCCCCCCTGAGAGGTCTGTGTTCAAGTCCTAGCTTAGCCACTGCTCACTAGTTACATCATGACTTAACTTTTCTAATTCTAAATTTCTTATATGTATGTAAAATTGATTATCACATATCTCATAAGTATAATGCAAGAATTAAATGATCAAATGCACAAAAGCGCTTAGCACAGTGCCAGGCATGTGGCAATCTGCAATAAATCATAACAAGTAAATACATAAAAGTAAGTGCCTTAGGTTGCAGGGGAGGGGCAGAGGATTGTGTAATTTTCTTGCAACAGAACCCTTTGCCTTTTACCTAAGACTCAGAGAAAAACCGTGAGTTGCATTTTACAAAATGTTGAATTAGTGAAATCGAACCATGCTTACTCATTGACAAACGGGAATTATTAAGTAAGAATTTGAACTGGGTAAACATTAAGCAAGAAAACCTCTGATAGCCCTGGTGGGTAGCTCAATTGGTTAGGGCCATGGTTGGCAAACTGTGGCTCGTGAGCCACATGTGGCTCTTTGGCCCCTTGAGTGTGGCTCTCCTTAAGCCTTAAGAGTACCCTAATTAAGTTAATAACAATGTACCTACCTATATAGTTTAAGTTTAAAAAATTTGGCTCTCAAAAGAAATTTCAATCATTGTACTGTTGATATTTGGCTCTGTTGACTAATGGGTTTGGCCTAACCGTTAGGGCATTGCCCCCATACACCAAGGTTATGGATTTCATCCCTGGTCAGGGCATATACACACAAGAATCAACCAACAAATGCCTAAATAAGTGGAACAACAAAAAGATGTCTTTCTCCTCCTTTCTCTCTCTCTCTCTCTCTCTCTCTCTCTCTCTCTCTCTCTCTCTCTCTCTCTCTCCCAAATCAATAATAATAAAACACATAACCTCAGGCAAATATCCCTAATGACAATCCAGAAATCTCTGCCTTAAAAAAATGCAGTCATTATTTTAATTCTAAAAAATTAGCATCTTCTCTGCTCATATTTTCCAAATCAACATCAATTTTCCACCATGGCTACATGATATTCTGGCCAAAATATTCTTAACATTTTTTACATTTACTTAATAATGTGTTATGTGCTGACTTTAACAACTGCAATCCGGCTGCATCTCAGGTCTGGGTGGCCCTACTTTTACAGCATCCCTGCACTCTTGAGAGGGTCCCAGAGGGCACCTGGGGACTAGGGGAGAGACTCTGCTGTCAGGAGGCAGGGCTTGGCCCAGGATGCAGCCTCAGGGGGAGCAGTAGCCAGAGCCAAAAGCAGCCAGGCCAAGGCGCATGCGCTTTGTTTCATAGGGACAGCAGGCTTCAGCCAGAATATTTTTACAGAATGAAGACAATAATGCATCCAAAAGAACAACTGGAGTTTCTCAGAAAAGGAGACTCAGTAGGTATTGTATTCATTTGCAAGAGCAGCCATACAGAACCACATACTGGGGGGCTCACACAACAGAAATGGATTTCTCACAGTTTTGGAGGCTAGAAGTCCCACATTGAAGTGTTGGCAGGCTCGGTTTCCCCTGAGGCCTTCCTCTTGGCTTGCAGATGTGTCCTTACAAGGTGTTTTCTCTCTGTGTACCCAGCCCTGGCATCCTTTTCTTATAAGGACATCAGTCCTACTGCCGTAGAGCCTTGTCCTTACAACCTCATTTAACATCAGTGACCTCCTGAAAGGTCTGTCTCCAAACACAGACCCATTCTAAGGTACAGGAAATTGGGTTTCAACATATGATTTTGAAGGGAACACAATTCAGTCCATAACAGGAATTACTATACAGCAAACACTTTTGGACATACTTCCATAAATGCGATTGCCTAAATAATATCTATGACCACTGACAGAGTTGCATCTATGAATACTTACTTCTGTGGTGTACTGCATGATTTTCCTCTCTGTATTCCTAGGAAAATGCCCCAAAGTCTATATGAGTCATATTCAGATCTTTCTACATGGAGGAAGAGCCAACTTGAAACCTGGAAATCAGGTTACGGTTTTACCTGTCTAGCTCAGTGATGGCGAACCTATGACACGCGTGTCAGAGGTGACACGCGAACTCATTTTTTTGGTTGATTTTTCTTTGATAAATGGCATTTAAATATATAAAATAAATATCAAAAATATAAGTCTTTGTTTTACTATGGTTGCAAATATCAAAAAATTTCTATATGTGACACGGCACCAGAGTTAAGTTAGGGTTTTTCAAAATGCTGACACGCCAAGCTCAAAAGGTTCTACATCACTGGTCTAGCTGCATAATCTTAGGAAAGTTATCTCATCTCCTTAGGGAAAGGCAGATTTAAACTTGAGGACACAGTTTTTCTTTAAACCTTTCTTACTTAGAAGGCATGGAAGATCATTGGGGCCTCACTGTTCTCATGTAGTTCTTTGTCACCATATCTCACATTCCATGGCAGACAATGTAGCAAACACATTACTATGAGAAGAGTCTAGGTTTATGACATAAAAAAAAGATAAACAAGTTAATAGAAATATGGAACTTTTACAACAGAAACTCTCTGGTTTCAACAGAGGCAAAAAGAAATACAAAACATTTATTATTATTTTTTATTGGCACAGATGATGTGGGTTTTTTATCCCTACTATTCCTAGCAAAATGTTTCTTTTAAAAAGAGTGTTTCTCCCAAGTTATTTTTCTTGGATGGATCACCTTGCAGATTATCTGTGTTTTGATGCCCTTCACAGGAGCAGGTAGATTGAAAGCATAAATGTTTAGAACTAAATAAATAAAGTTTTATACCATATTCATGACTTGAAATAGGAAAGAATTTCCTAAACAAGACATAAAAAGCACAAATCATAAAGGAGTAGATTAATAAAATTGACTCTATTAAAATTAAGAATATCTGCTTATAAAAACACATTATTAAGAGAGTGCAAAGAAAACCACAAACATACAACATATATAAATAACAAAGAACACATTAGAATACTAGTATATGAAGATTTTCCTTGAGTCAATGAGAATAAAACAATCCAATAGAAAAAGAACATTAAGAAAATTTGAAAGTGCCATACAGAAGATGGAACCCTAAATGAACAACAGATCAAGAGAGAAGAAAATGCAAATTAAAACCATAGTAGTTTCCCATTGTACACTGTGTGAGTGGTAAAAACCCCTACAATACCACATGTTGGTGAGTAAGGATTTGGTAGAAATTGTTTCACTGCACGTGGGATTACCAGTGGGTGTTAGCATTTGGAAACTTCCCCTGTAAAGTGAAATGAATGTAGCCTACAACGTAAGTGGGTATGTACCTTAGGGGACACATATAAGAATGTTCATGGCAGCATAACTATGCAAAAAATGAGAAAACACCCAAAAGTCTTTAACAGTAGAGTGGATACATTGTGGAATAGTTGTACAATGGAATATTAAAAAGCAATGACCATTTTAGCAAACTATAGCTTCTTATATCAACATGAATGAACCCTAAAAATAATAAGGTTGAGTGAAAGGAGAAAGTCACAAAAGAATATTTACTGTATGGTTCCATGTACATAGAATTCGGGTGGTAAAACTATTTTTTAAAAAAGCAAAAATCTAAAGGTCATAAAAGACAAGATAGCTATGAAAGAGCACTGGGAGTGTCCAAGTTACTGGAAGAGGTGGTAGACCTTGTTCTAGATCAAGGTCTTGTGATAGTTAAGGCTATTTTTGATAACTTGGTTTATAGTTTTATGATTATTGCTTATATGCCCTGCTTAAAGCAACTGGCTTCCCCTGAGCCCTGTACTGGTAAGTACCAGGCACTGTGCTAACTCAGTTTACATGAATTGTTTTATTTCATCTCCACACAATTTATGACATAAATGTGCTATTCTCACTTTACAAATGAGAAAACTGCAGCCTAAAGAAGTCCCTGAGAAAAAACCACAGAGCCCAGAATCACATCCAGGCCCTCGTGATACGAAACCTTTGGCCTTCTTTTACAAACAGACCAGATTGCCTTCCAAAGGTTGGAAGCTCAAGAGGTCGCTAACCCAGAATGATCCGGGTACCCGGCTACACCAATAGTGAGATGTCAAACAGACTGTTTAGTTCTGAACTTTGAAACTCAATGCTGGCTTCTTCACTGGCTAACAAAACACAGATGGACTGTTGGGGATGTAGATATTGGATGTGATTCAAGGGCAATCGACCTGATTATTCACATAACCAAAGCCTTCTTTGAGAAATAAACAAAATCTAAAGTTGCTGGAATTTTTTTAAATCTTAAAAATGTTAGCATCTTATAAATAAATGCGACATACATGTGAGCGCTATTCCCACTTCACAGATGAAAAAACTGAGCCTAAAGAAGTTCCTAAGACTTTTAGTTAAATTCACTTTGGAGAATGAAGACATTTGCATTGTCCATGTGTAGACATCATATTCCAGGTGCTTCCCTTCCCATCTCCCCTCTCCCGCCTCTGCATCATTCCTTGCTGAGTGATTTTGGTGAGCAAAAGCAACTGACCCCTGTGCAGAGCAGTAGAGAAGGCTTGTCAGAGTGGGGTCCAGGTCCAGGAAAAGAAAATGCAAGAAACCTACTGGGAATTAATGAAACAACTTCCAGTTTCCAAAACCCAAAGGAAAAGAGGCAGTGGTCCAATTCAAGGGACAAGCAAAACAACTTTGTTGGAGCTTCTAATGAGTACAGCTTGTCAGACCAATTAACCTTAGTTCCAACTAGACATTGTAATCTCCATTAGTTAGATAATGGAGAGGCAAACAGATCGTGTTCCTTTATTTCCTGACCAAATTTTTCCTCTGTGTTCAAGAGAAATGATCTAAAAGCTTTTAAGATACCAGTCAACAAGGTGTCGTGATACAACGACTGTATAAAAATTCTGATGTTCTCACATTTTTTTGTGGGGAAAATATCCTTTAGCCTAGGACACTGGTGTGTGTTTTTTTAACTTTTTTTTTTTTTTTTTTACTGTTGACACTGTAACAGATGTCCCCATTTTCTGCCCCTTTGCCCACTTCCACCCAGTGCTCCCCCCCCCCTTTTCTCTGGTCATCACCAAACGTTATCTGTGGCTATGGGTTTTGCATATATGTTCTTTGGCTAATCCCTTTACCTTCTTTCATCCAGTCCTTTCTTCTTCATCCCCTCTGAAATTTGTCAATCTGTTCCATGTATCTATCCCTCCGGTTCTATTTTGTTAATTAGATTCCACATATAAGTGAGATCATATAGTATTTGTCTTTCTCTGACTGCCTTAATTTCTTAGCATAATAATCTCCAGGTTCATCCATGCTGTCACAAAGGGTAAGATTTCCTTCTTTTTTTATAGATGAGTGATATTCCACTGTATAAATGTACCACTCATCTACTGATGGACACTTGGGCTGTTTCCAGATCTTGGCTATCCTATCTAATAAAGACAGAATATGCAAATTGACCATCACTTCACGACAAAGGATGGCGGCGCCCACAGCCAATAAGGAGGGAATATGCAAATTAACCAGCAAAGATGGCAGCAGCCGGCCCGGAGCGAAGGCGGGAGGCAGCTCCCAGCCCTGGAGCAAAGGCAGGAGGTGGTGCCTTGCCTGAAGTGAAGGCACAAGGCAGCAGCCAGAGGGAAGGCCCAGGTCCTGGGTGCTGGAGGGAAACTGGTGCCAGCAGCCAGGGTAAGGAAGGCCTATTCTTGCTCGAATCTTCATGCATTGGGCATCTAGTCCTATATAATAAAACCCTAGGTGGTGTCACGCCCTCACACGACGTCATCACAAGATGGCTGCCACAGATGGCCACCCTCAAGTCATCACAAGATGGCTGCACTCACATCATCACAAGATGGCCACCACAAGATGGCCTGCAGGGGAGGGCAGTTGTGGGCGATCAGGCTGGCAGGGGGGGAGGGCAGTTGGGGGCCATCAGGCCTTCAGGGAAGGGCAATTGGGGTCTATCAGGCCGGCAGGGGAGGGCAGTTGTGAGTGATCAGGCTGGCAGGGGAGGGCAGTTGGGGGCCATCAGGCTGGCAGGGGAGGGCAGTTGTGAGTGATCAGGCTGGCAGGGGAGGGCAGTTGGGGGCCATCAGGCCTTCAGGGAAGGGCAATTGGGGGCTATCAGGCCGGCAGGGGAGGGCAGTTGTGGGCGATCAGGCTGGCAGGGGGGGAGGGCAGTTGGGGGCAATTGGGCCAGCAGAAGAGGGAAGTTGGGGGTGATCTGGCCAGCAGGGGAGCAGTTAGGCATCAATCATGCCGGCAGGGGAGTGGTTAGGGGGCTATCAGGCTGGCAGGCAGAAGTGGTTAGGGGCAATCAGTCAGGCAAGTGGTTAGGAGCCAGCAGTGTTGGATTGTGAGAGGTATGTCCCAGATTGGAGAGGGTGCAGGCTAGGCTGAGAGTCACCCCCACCCATGCACGGATTTTGTGCACCGGGCCTGTAGTCTATATATATATAAAAGCCTAAGTGACCGTTACTACCGGTTGACTGAATGACCTGTTGACTGGTCACTATGATGCACACTGACCACCAGGGGCAGACACTCAATGCAGGAGCTGCCCCCTGATGGTCAGTGCACTCCCACAGCCAACCTCCCATGGTTCCTCCCCTCGGCCGGCCAGCCCAGATCAGCCCTGATCAGGATTGGGCAAGATGGCCCTAATCAGCCCCAATCACCGGCCAGGCTGAGGAACCCCACCCATGCATGAATTCGTACGCCAGGCCTCTAGTTGTAAATACTGCTGCTATGAACATAGGGGTGCATATATTCTTTCTGATTGGTGCTTGGGGATTCTTAGAATAAGTTCCCAGAGGTGGAATTGCTGAGTGAAAAAGCAGTTCAGTTTTTAATTTTCTGAGGAAATTCTATACTGTTTTCCACAGTGGCTGCACCAGTCTGCATTCCTACCAACAACACATGAGAATTCCCTTCTCTCTACATCCCATTAGCACTTGTTTGCTGACTTATTGATGATAGCCATTCCGGCAGGTATGAGGTGGATGATGTTTCGGAGACAAGTGGAGATTGTGTAGCTGTAGTTTAGAGTAGAAAGGAAAAGCAAATCTAGTATTTGGGGTGGAATTTTCCCTTTTAGATAATAATCCCTTTAAAATCAAGGAGGAAGTCATTGTGGTTGGGACGCTCTACAATGGACTTTGTATTTTTGCTTCCGTGGCTTTGTGAGTGGAACAGAACTTACATTTTGTTTACTTTCTTAGTTAGTATTTATTTTTTAGTTAAAATTCTACCTGTGAGGGAGCATGGATAAGGTAGCTCTGCACAGAAAGACAAAGTGTTCTTTCCTAAAGAAAGAAGCAAGGTCGCAAAACCCACTGAAACATAGGAGGAGCATTGGTGAATTTGATAAATTTTATAAAGATTTCATAAGTGCCAGCTTAATACTGAGATAAACTCAGAAGGTATCTGCCCTCAAGCATCCCACAGCCTGTGTGGCAGGTGCTCAAGACTTAATCCTGATAGCACAGGAAAGGGGCAGGGGCTAACGTACTGAGAAGCCAGGCTAGGCCCAGACTTCCCACACTGATAGGGATATCACCAGCTTAACAATGAACTTTCTGACCTAGGGTGCTCCCCCAGATTTGTCTGGGACGCTGATCAGTAGTGGTATCCAGGACCTGGGTAGGCTGAACTGTTATGGGGTAAGTTATGGGAACTCCTCACCTTCTCCAGTACCATTCCCATTTCTGACTGAAACATTTCAGGCTTGCCTTTCAGTGCTGGTGTCTGCCAACGAGGCACTGCCTCTTCCAGGAAGCCCTCCAGGCATCCACTTTATGCTCGTTTCCTTCCCACACCAATGCCATTTTGTGGAACTCCTGCCAGTCTCTCTCTCCCTCCCCCATCCTTCTTTTCCAAACATGTACTGCTTACTGAGTTTCAGGAACTCATAGCACTAGGAATAAAAAACAATAGGACCAGTATCAGCCTAGTTATGGAGTAGTCCTGTGCGGAAGTCCAACCTATAATAAAAATGCAATAAAGTATCACAGTTTCCCTGAAAACAAAGGACAAAAGGTACAAAGGGTAAGAGGAAGGAGGTATTTATGGGGAAAATGATAGAACAGTTTTTTCCTATGAAGTTACACTTGAATTGCTTTCTTCCTCCTCCCATTAAGTAAATTTCTCTTCCTTGCTTATATCATTTTCTCAGGTTTAAACTTTCTGAACCCAACAGTGTTCTGGACTAAAGGTCTAATGGCAAAGGCCTGGAGGAAGGGAAGGAAAACTCACTCTCATCTCATTTGCTTCATCAATTCTACTCCAAATGCCACATAGTTAGAACCCCAACTTTACAGAAGACAAATCTGGATCAGAGATGTTGACTGGCCTGCCCAAGAGCTCACAACTCAGAAGATCTCTTTCTGAGATGCATGACCAAACTTGTTTATCATGCATGATAAACATGACCATGCTTAACACAGTCTTACAGGGCCACTTGATGTCTTCCTACTCTCATAGTCTGTGGCTCCTCTGCTGTACAAGAAACCATCTCTTGGATGGTGAGAGAAGGGGGCTGCAGACAGTGCAGCAGGGGCATGGCTAAGTTCAACTTTCCCACAGGAGTGCCAGAATGGGGTCCAGGCTGGGCCTGCACCTGCTGGGTGGAGAAGGCCCAGCTCAGAACTACTTCCTCAGAAAGTCTGATAGCTTCATTTTTCACTGTTTTTGCTTCTGTTTGTTTGTTGTTGTTTTTTTAAAATATATTTTATTGATTTTTTTACAGAGAAGAAGGGAGAGGGATAGAGAATTAGACATCGATGAGAGAGATTGATCAGCTGCCTCCTGCACGCCCCCTACTGGGGATGTGCCCGCAACCAAGGTACATGCCCTTGACCCGAATCGAACCTGGGACCCTTCAGTCCCCAGGCCAACACTCCATCCACTAAGCCAAACCGGTTTGGCATTTTGCTTCTGTTTTTATTTCTAAAAATGCATATTGCTGTTTAACACATTTCTTTAAAATTAGTGAGAAGGAGCCACTTCTGGATTCATAGTGTCTCTTGCTCCCGAATGCCGCCTCCTTTCTGAGCTCACCTCAACTTCTGCTCGATTCACAGCAGCCCCAAGAACTGGTATGGGGGTTGTGTCAGCCTCCACCCCATCTCCATCACACCCCACCCAAACATTACAAGGAAGCAAATCTTATTGAAAATACCGTGTCTAATATGCAAATGCACCCACCAGATGAGTGCTCTAGCTATCCCCTCTAATGCTATTTTCATCAAAGGTCACACAAACCAATTTCCTGCTGAAAGCCTATTCTCACCTCTACCTTCAATACCACAACTTTGTCACCTTGGAGGCTTTTCTTCATATATGAGATATCGGTTGGTGGTGTCTTCAGGTGTTTGTGGTTATTAATGGCACCCTCTATTACTACTAAAAGCAACTCCACTTGGGAGATGCACTATCGGGTCACCCTATGCATTGAGTACATGCTGTGGGCCAGCTCTGTGATAGATCCCAAGGCTACGATACATAATAAAAGATCCCTCATTTGTAGGAGCTCACAAACACAGGAACCTTATACATAGTTTGTACAGGGACATATGAGCAAGTATTATCTTAGATGGCTCACCCCAATCTTCCCTTTTCTTCTTGGTTCCCTCAGTTCTAGTTAAGGAGTGTCATGGGGGCATTTTCTCAGCCCCTTGGCTGCCAAGTCCTTCTCCCTCAGTGTCCCATGAGAAAGCATGTGCCCCCTTAGAACCCTTTGTGGATACATATTACCTTTCAGTGTCTGATGGGGACATTCCTATGTGGCCCTTCCATATCCTACATGGACTTCTATGCCCATCCAGTACCTACATAGATGTCCTTATGTGTTCCATGAATGTCCCTTGTGAACAATTTCATGTGCCTCTCCAGTGTCCAATGGACCAGTGTGTTCCTTTTGTCTCATGTGTTTGCTAATATATACCCACCCATGCCCCATGCAGATATTCCATTGGGCTCTTCTAGTGTTGCCTGTGGACCTATATACCCCTTCAGTAATGCAAACTCTATCCAATTTGAAGGCTGAAGGCCCTGCAGGGTTACAGAGTAGCAAAGGGCCTCTGGGTGCATATGTGAGCAGAGAAAATGTCATGAATGTTTAAAAAGAACTCCTCTTATTTAAAAAAGATTCTGCCTCAGAGCCACTTGATAAATCGTTTAAAAATTTTAAAAAAAATGAGATTCATAGGCTTTGTTCTAGACCTATTGAATCTGAAGTGAGCCCAGGAATTTTCATTTTAAACAAGTCATGGAACTGATGAGGAAAATTAGACATTTTTTGCAGGGGAGGGGAGGTTAGCAGCCTGACTAATGTGCAGTATCCCTAATGCACATTTCTGTTAGCCTATAATCAAGTCACTGCCCCTTCCTTAATTATCTGGTCTTGCAAGACCTGTTTACCTAAATACTCCCATTTTACAGAGGCCATAAACGATGAACAATACACAACCCCCGGAGGGGGTTATCAGCACTGGCACCAGGCCAGGCCTTTAGGTGTGGTTTCACGGCCCCCATTCTAACACACAGGGCTTTTTGCAAAGCCCGCGAAAGGTCCGGAAGTCTGATCCATATTTGGGGGACAAAGAAACCAAAGGGTATAAAGAGGTTAGGAGTTCCCCACTTTATGGACAGCTCACTTCTTACCAGAGAAGCTGAAAATATCAGGTACTCACCTTCTCATTCTCCATTAAAGTTAAGGGTGGGTTATGATCTAGGCTTTACCAAGCAGGTGCATCAACCACATAAATCAGAATCTAACCATGAATCATGAAGTGTTGTGAAGTGGAAACAGGCAGAGCGTTTCCATTCTGTGGGTTTTGACTAGTTAATCACTATGGTCAGTTTCCAGAAACATTGGTGTCACTGGTTGTAGTAATAGCATCTGACATCTCATATAGATGATGTCTGTGCTTTATGTAGCCTACTAGAGGCCCAGTGCATGAATTTGTGCATGGGTGAGGTCCCTCAGCCTGGTTGGCAATCGAGGCCTACCGATGGGAGGGACTGCGGGAGGTTGGCTGGCTGGGGGAAGGGGTCATGGGAGGTTGGCCAGCTGAGGGGGGGTGCTGTGGGATGTTAGCCAGTGGGGGGGAGGGGGGGAGGTTACGGGAAGTTGGCTGGCTGTCAAGGGCGGGGTCAGGGACCACGGGAGGTTGGGCGGCCAGCCCCCCCATCGGGATCAATCGGAGGAGCCAGCCGGGCTTGGGGGGAGCGAAGGGAGGGACTGTGGGAAGTTGGCTGGTGTGGGGGAGGGACCACAGGAGGTTGGCCAAGGGGGTGGGGCCACAGGAGGTTGGCTGGCTGGACCCCCATTGGGACTGATTGGGGGGCCAGCCAGTGGGGGGGGAGGGGCTGCGGGAGGTTGGCTGTGGGAGCGCACTGACCACCAGGGGGAAGTTCCTGCATTGAGCGTCTGTCCCCTGGTGGTCAGTGTGCATCACAGGCTGCCTGCCTTGGGGCGGAGGGGCCCCAGTAGCCTTGCCCTTGGGGATGAACACGAAGGAGTTGTGGGAGTTCACACGGAGACTGGGCAGAGCCCGGGCCTGCAGGTCCCCCCCGGGAATCGTGTTCATATCTGGCTTGGAGGCCGGCCATATCTTGAAGGAGTCGTTGGTGCTGGTGGCCGAGGAGACCCAGTGGTGCTGGCTGGGAGTGGCACTGGCAGGGCTGACACTGGACAAAGCCAGGGATGAGGCTGGAGTGGCACTGGGGTCCCAGGGCTGGTGGGTGGGAGGCTCCCCCAACTCCAACTTTGGCTTGTACTCGCCCTGCCCAAGGCTGGATCCCGCAATGCCATTGGCAGTGCCTGCCAGGAACTCTGGGGTCAGGGGCCTGTTGGGGAGCAGGCAAATGCCCGACCCTCGGTGCAGGCCGCAAGGGTGGATGGTGAATGAGTTGTTGCTGGTCTTCTGCAAAAGTCACTGCACCGACCCTGGGCCGAGGACAGGTGGCTGTGGCAGCGGCTGTGGCAGGGGGCTACTGAGCTCTGGGATCCTGCAACGGCCTGGCTGCTGGTTGAACTTCTGGAGCAGATGGCCGATGGGGCCAGTTGATGGGAGCGCATAGTACAGAAGCCCCTCTGTGGCATGGATTTGGGCAGCCAGGCTGTTGGCGAGGTCTGGTGCAGCAGACTGGCCTAAACCAGCAGTCAGACATCCCTCTCACAATCTGGGACCACTGGCTCATAACTGCTCACCTGCCTGCCTGCCTGCCTGATCTCCCCTAACTGCCTCTGCCTGCCTGCCTGATTGTCCCTAACTGCCCTCCCCTGCTGGCCTGAGCCTGATCTTGCCCCAAACTGCCCTCCCTTGCTGGCCTGGTTGCCCCCAACTGCCCTCCCCTGCCGGCCTGATCGCCCCTAACTGCCTCTGCCTCGGCTGCCACCACCATGGCTTTGTCCGGAAGGAAGTCAGACATCTGGAAGATGGCTAGTTGATCCAGTCTAATTAGCATATTACCCTTTTATTAGTATAGATAGATTATATAGGATAGAATTGCTTAAATGGGGGTGGGGGCAGTTGGGGGCAATCAGGCTGGCAGGGGAGTGGTTAGGGGGTGATCAAGCTGGCAGGCAGAAACGGTTATGGGCAATCAAGCAGGTGAGCGGTTGGGAGCCAATCCCGGATTGTGAGAGGGATGTCCCAGACTGGAGAAGGTGAAGGCTGGGCTGAGGGACCCCCCCCCCCCCCCCCCCGCCCAGCCCCAGTGCATGGATTTCGTGCACCGGGCCTCTAGTATAGGATAAAGAAGGAGGAAGAAAGCCCAGAGGGAATAGGAGGACAGTGAGGGAGGAGGGCCTTAGGAGTCATGAGTCACTATAGTAACAGTCTAAGGGAATACTGACTGATCAGAGGGGATATCAAGGCACCAGGATCTGTAGCCTTTATAAGCCAAAAGGAAAAAGAACTCAGTGGCACCCTTCCCCCTCCCCATGTGGGAGTCCATACTGTGGGACTCTTTTCCTCTCCCCACATGGGAGTCTGTACTTGTTCTTCAATAAATCTCCACCTTTTCTATACTATTCTCTGTCCATGGATTCATTCTTCGACTCTGGCAGACAAAGAATCCAGGTTCCAGTCAAAAAATTCCCTATCAACTTTAAAAGTATATTTTAAAGTATATCCCCTGTTGTTTCCTCTGGCTGCCTCAGCATGTTTTGTTTTATTTTATTTTATGAAATATATATTTCTTGATTTCAGAGAGGAAGGGAAAGGGAGAGAAAGAGAGAGAAACATCAATGATGAGAGAGAATTGTCAATTGTCTGCCTCCTGGACACCCCACACTGGGGATGGAGCCCACAACCTGGGCATGTGCCCTGATCTGGAATCAAATTGTGATCTCCTGGATCATGGTAAATGCTCAACCACTGAGCCAAGCCAGCCGGGCCGCCCTAGCATGCTTTAGTTTCGTTTTCACTGAAGAGCCCCACCCTCATCCTGGCTCCTCACCCTGTGTATATTTCTAGTGCAACCCTGAATAAGTTACTGCTGCCTTGTGGTTTGTTGCGGACAGACCATGACTGCAATAATGGTCCCAGAGAAGTCCAGTCCTGGGCCGAGGTGCTGGCTGATCCTGACCTTCACAGTGCTCCTGCAGTGTGTCTGTGTGGCCATGGCTTACTTGTACTTCACCAGTGAGTTGCAGCAGGTCAGTATAACGCATATGGACTCACGGCAGCTGTCAGCACCCTCGTGTTAACTGCCTCTCCTTTGCCTCTCTACTTGCTCCTCTTTGAAAACTTTATAGTGAATGTTTCTTTTCGCTGCCTGAGAGATGTTTTGGTTTTATTTCTGTTGCATTTGTGTGTTGATAATAGTGAGACTATAAAGGACTAGCATTCTGCCTAAGTCTGTAATGCAGTGGTTATAAGCTGAGCTCACATTTTACTGCTCATCCTAAAATAATTGAAAATAAAACTGCCATTCGATGCCTGTGGATGGTTCAGGTACAAATCCAGGTGCATTTGACAGAGAGAGAAAAACAAAGCAGGGCCATTTTAATTTGTGTATTTCTCAACTATATAAAACATTTGGAACTATAAATGCAAAATTGATAAAAAAAAATAAACCAACTCAGCTTCTTACCTTCTTATATATATTTTGACTAATTGTATATTATCAAAAACTGTGAGTTGGAAGGAACTTTGAACACTCACATTTTATAGATGAGACTAGAGACCAGGATGGGTTACAGAAAATGATTGTCAGAGACTAATGTCTGGGCAGCAGAGAGGGTCAGTACTGCCACCTCAAAATCTCTGAGCCAGCAAAGGAGTCTACCCTGCTGACTCAAGCCCTGCCAAGGAGACTGGCTAGTCCTTGCCTAGACAATGCCACCAGCAGCAGGCATGCAAACCCATTTCACAGAACCAAGGGCTTCTGGAACAGAAGAGCAGGCTCCCAGTGCACATATGATTAGCAAGAAGAAAGTCCAAGCCTGAGATGTAGATCTGAAAATCATGAGGTGGTAAGGAGGTGTCATTACTCATTTTTGAAAATACTACAGCACCCCACTTCCCCATGGGTCCAGGTGGCAGAACAAGGTCTGTAGAAACACGTGGGGATGGGGAAGGTGGTAGGGGTTTCCTTTCTGGGTTTCTGTTCTCAAAACTCTATATTTATGCATAAAAACATCTAAAAGGAGAAACACCAAAATGTTGGCCATTGTGATCTCTAGATGGTAAGATTGTGGTAGGGTGCTTTTTTCCTTTTTATTTTTTTACATTTTATAAATTTTCTACAGTGAATGTTATAAAAATATCTATGCTATCCATATATCCACTTTCACACAGACTTAAAGAACATGACATTTTTACAGAGTCTTACGAGAAAACAACCCTACTCAAAACTGCCCCTACACAGTCTGATCTCAACCCTGTAAACAAAAAAGAGATCATGAAAAGCTTTAACTAGGAGGTGGGGTTAGTTAGACGGTTAGGGTGGGGCGCTTTTTTGTTGTTGTAGCTTGTGGTTTTTTTTTTGCTTTTAGAAAAGTGTTCCTTACTTCTCTGTATTTTCTAGGGTGCCTGTGTGTCCTCAATGTCCCTAGGCCTCATTGAATTTGAGGTAACAATAGCGCCACATTAGCTTGTCAACCTCCCTGCCATAGATACCTAGGAACTTCCTCACTTTTCCAGGTTCTTCCTCCCAAACAGAAAGTTTTTCTGAAAAATTTCCAGAGGATGTTCAGAGGCACTGTCAGCAGCTGACCTCTGCTTCTGGCCCCTGCTCCGTATCCAGCCCTCTCAAACTCTACTTCCTTTTATTTATTTTATTTTTCCCCCCCATAACTTCTTTTGATTTTTTACAGAGAGGAAGGGAGAGGGATAGAGAGTTAGAAACATCGATGAGAGAGAAACATCGATCAGCTGCCTCCTACACACCTCCTACTGGAATTGTGCCCTTAAGCAGGGTACATGCCCTTGACTGGAATTGTACCTGGGACCTTTCAGTAGTCCACAGGCCAACGCTCTATCCACTGAGCCAAACCGGGTGGGCTCCACTTCCTTTTAGAGATAACACCGTTTCCTGCTCCCAAGCAGCTCTCAGCTCAGCCTTTCTGCCCTTGACCCAGCTTCCCATGCTCTGCAGCTTCCAACTGCTGGGAAGCAAGAGTTAAAATTGCTCTCTCCCTTCTGTGTCACATACATCTTTTATCCAACGAATTAATAGACATTTGTGAGCCTGTTTTTGTTGTTGTTGTTGTTGTTGTTGTTTGTTTGTTTGTTTTGTTTTTAGTTTCATCAGAGCAGTGCCTGGCCAAGTTCTCGTATTTCTAAACCACATGCGATTGAGTTTCTTCTTTGGAAAGGCTTTTCAGCTTCCACACAAATTGCAGATGCAAATGGAAGTCTACAATAGAAAAGTACAGGGTGGGCAGGGGCAAAGACGAGTCTAATTCCATTGTCAGCTCAGGGGGCCCCAGGGGTCACCTCCACGACATTGCCCAGGAGAATGTTTTACTCTTGTGATTAAATGAAGGAAGAAAGAAAATAAACATTTAAAAGCAAATGAATGCCCTATGCCAGAGTGTGTGGAGGAATGAATTAACTCAGGTTTATGTTTTTGCACTTGAAGGACCTTGGTCAAATGTTCACAGGGTACTTTGTCTGAGTACAGGACTGCATGACTCTGACTGGAACCTCTCATAGACAGTTCAGTCATTTTGATTTGGAATAAGCAGGTTATCCTTAAATGTGAGCCTTCCTTCATGCTCTAGAGTGTGCCTAAGTTCAAGTAGAAGGAAAAAACAAAAAGGCCATTGTACTGGAAAATAACCTTTTAACCTCAATAGTTAAAAATGAAACCAGGCAATAAGAAAACAAGAACCAAAACCAAAAAAAAACCCACCAAAAAACCCATGCAATCTTGCGTGAGTTTCCTGTTTTTGTAACATCAGTATCAGCCTCAAGTACTCTGCATGGTTAGGGATTCATGGACATGTGCATGCTTGTGTGCGTGCGAGCATGTAAGGGCGTCTGTGTATAACATCAAGCAAGGACTTGATAACAATGATCTGGCACTCTAAATGTTTATTCTCAGTCAGGAAGAGGTAATAAATCTTCAAGTCTCTGCAGGTTAATAAATCCCTAGCTAGTGTGGATATTTAATGAGGCAGCATTCAGATTTTTAGTGGCAATGGGATCACACTTGATCATCCAAGGAGAGTAGAATTCACAATAAGTAGAGTGTGCTCAGATGTCCAAAGCTCGGATCAAGAAACAGAACATGAGCTGGCCCCCGAATGATTTGGCTACCGTTTTATTTAGCATCCTTACATTTAAACACACTCTACTGCCCACTTTGTGTCTAGGTGGGTTGCCACCTTTAGAACGGGATCCACTGTGTCAGAACTGAACAGGACCTCAAGATCACTGTAGTGAACCAGCTCAAATCTCAGAGGAAGAACAGACACAGAAGAGAAGCAGACATTTGTTGAGGGACACACAACTAATTGATGGCAGGGCCAGTCAAGGGCATTGTGACTCAGGATGCCTAGCCCACACCTGTGATGTTTCCACCATATCCAACAGCTTACTTTTATTCAAAGGACAAAGGACAGCAGGCCTACTTTAATTCCAAGCCATGAGCTTATCCAAGGTGCCAATTCTCTGAATCTGTCATCAGTTTCTGTAGTTTTAACTTCTAAATGAACAAAAACAAAAAGCACTTGTGCATAATATTGTGTTATATTCCATCTCGTCCTAGATGCAGGACAAGTACTTCAAAACGAGCATTGCTTGCTTCTTAAAGGAAGATGACAACTCTTGGGACTTCAATGATGAGAATTTGAACGATCCTTGCTGGCAAGTAAAGTGGCAGCTGCGACAGTTTGTTAGAAAGGTAGGTGGGCTCTTGGGTGACTTCACCAGCTTTGCATAGAAGGTCGGAGGAGAGGGAATATTTAAGATCATCACATCCAGACTGTTCATTTTGCAAAAGGGGAAACTGAGGCCCTGAGTGCTTAAGTGATTTTCCCTAAATTCTGCAGAAAGGCAGAACAGCACCAAACAGTGGGCCTTAGTCAACTCCCAGTCAGAACAGCACCAAACAGTGGGCCTTAGTCAACTCCCGGTCAGAACAGCACCAAACAGTGGGCCTTAGTCAACTCCCGGTCAGAACAGCACCAAACAGTGGGCCTTAGTCAACTCCCGGTCTATAGTTCATGCCTCTACTCTAGACAGTCTCCCCATCCAGTCTAACCTTTGTATCTCACATCGTGGAAACGGAGGCACAGGCAGAGCAATGTGTTCAAGGTCAGACAACAATGAGGGGTGTGTGTGTTTTTTTACTCAGAATATGAAAGAGGCCAATTATGGTGTTTTATATTCTTCCCACATGTTGATCTCAAAGAGGAAAGGGAAAGGGAAGAGAGATACTTTGAGAAGTTGAAGTTGATATCTCAATTTGCAGTTAGCAAATGACAAATTATAATATTTTCTGTCTATGGAAGTTGCTAAAACAGGATCTTTAGCAGAACCATTATGTTAACTAACAGGTTATTTCATAATTGTTATGTAATTTTACTTTGAGCCATGTGACATGTAAAATTAGGCTTCTTCTCTTGGGCTTTTCCTTCTTGGCAAGAAAGTATTTAGTAATATTTACTTTCAACCTCAGAAAAGTCAGAGGAGGACACAGATATGAAAATACCTTGTAAGGAAGTAAACACCAGGGTTGTTTAAAAAATCCTGGGGACATTCCCAGCATAGAAGGAGGAAGTGTTTTACTGAGAACCAGTGTGGTGCTCAGCCTCACTTCTCATAGAACCAGTGTTTTGTTGGCAGTTAGGGATCTGATTTATAAACCTCAACAGTCCTCTCCATAGAGCTCAGCACAATGCTATTTTTTTTTTGTTTTTGGGGTGTTTTTTTTTTGTTTGTTTTGTTTTTTTTGTTAATCCTCACCTGAGGATATTTTTCCACTGATTTTTAGGGAGTGGAAGGGAGGGGGAGACAGAAAGAAACTTTCATGTGAGAGAGACACATCAATTGCTTGCTTCCTGCACATCCCCCAACCAGGGCTGGGGATTGAGTCTGCAACCCAGGTATTCGACCCAGGACACTTCAGTCTGAGGGCTGACACTCTATCCACTGAGCCAAACCGGCTAGGGCTTATGATGCTATTTCTATGAGAAATGAGATTATTAGATGTCTACCTGGGAGTTCTGCAAACACCTGTACTGGTGGCCGCCCTGGAGGTGTGGCCTGGGCAGGGCACCCACTGCACGCATGAGCAGCTGTGACTTCAGCACTCCAAGTGACAAGGACCAGGAAAGGCCCAGGGTTGGGGAAGGGTCCTGAGGAATCTAGGGATGGGACTCCACAGACCTGGGGTTAAGGGGGTGGTAAACTCACAGGTTTGGGGACTGAGAAGAGGGGCTGGATGCTGGGGCTGGAAGTGGGGAGATAAGAGAAGTGGGGATGGGTTTCCTGCTATTCTTGCTCTCCCATGCTCATGCCCTGCCCCCAGCTAGACTAGAGGAAGCTGGGAGGGTCACAGAGGGGTGGGTAAAAGTGCAGGGGGAAAGAATGTCCCATTTTTTCCAGGGACCATTAATTAAACAGACTATTTCCAGTGAACATCTTATACCCATTACAGATATCATTTCCTTTAATTCTCACAATAGCTCTATGAGGAAGAAATCATTATCTTCTTCCTCTTTTTTAAAACAGTTGAAGAAGTTAAAGTTTACATCAGTTAAGTGACTTGAGAAAAATTTTCCAGAGCTAGCAATTGACATATTTGAATCCAGGCCATACTGTAGTTATTATTGTACTTTGCCTTCCACACTGTAGGAATTACCCTCTCTCCTTCCTGCTGATCCTCCTTCTTCCTTCCCTTCTGTCCCAGAATGACAGGGAGAGAGAGAGAGAGAGAGAGAGAGAGAGAGAGAGAGAGAATTGCTGAGGCCACCTCTCGCTTTCCCCTCCTGTACCAGTGCCCATTGGACTTCAGGCAGTCCCCTGATCACCTGGAATCAGGGCTTGAGGCAGATGCAGAAGCAGAGAGCTTCTGATTTGGGATGGGAGTACAGGGGAAGGGAGTTTCTGGTAGTTGCCAAATTAACAACAGTGACGGGAAAGGAGGGCAGTGATGGGCAAAACTCCCTGGTGACAGAATCAAATGGAGGGGAATTTAGAAGCTGTGGATGAGCCAAGACAAGACCTGTTTAATTCATAGAAAGGCTCAGTGTTTGCTCTTTCTCACAGTTTTTTTCCACTGGTTAGTACAAAGAGGGTGATGCTAGATTTTTAGTAAAGATATGGGAACTTGGTAAAATATCTTTATGTTAAGAATGCCTCAGCCACATTCTCAGAAATGAGAGCAGGACATGGTGTGGCCAGGTCACACCCTGATGAGCTGTGGTTGTCTGTGGGCACCCAGAGAGAGAGGCTTGGGGCTGTCCAATCACTCAAAGCCCCTGGACTCCATTATTCCATTACACAGAGCCCTTTACACACACACACGCGTGCACACACACACACACACACACACTCACACACCATAGAGAAAATGAGGTGACATGTCCGCCACATCCGCCAGCGACGAAGAGGTCTGGGGAGGACTTGGCCGACCTAACTTGGCGGGTGGCTCCTTTCTCCTGTGCTGCTCCAGGTGTGGACTTTCAAAGACTTTATCCAGAAACAGAGGGTTCCCACACAGAGGACCATTTTTTGATCACCACGTGGGGATGGCTGCTTCAATATTTGCCCTGCTTCCTACATTGTCATCTTACGTAGAAATTTCCTGTTAGACATCAGTAAAAAGAGCCATAGACAATCTAGAGTCAGTTTCAAAATTTTAGGGAAATTAACAATCTTTATTCAATACCATTACAGATAAGTTTGGGAACCTATGAGGAAACCATTTCTACAGTTTCAGGTATATTTTTTGTTGTTATTTTAACTTTCTACTCTCCACTTCATGGCAGGGTGAAGGCCTCTCCATCCTCTTTCTTTCTGCTCCATTCACACCTCCTACCTCTGATCAGCTGCTCAAGCTATTGATTCTATTTCCCATTTTGCATTGAGAGCTAGAAAGCTCAGAACCAACCCTGTGGCCTACCTATGGCCAGAACTTTTTTCAGCTGAATCTTATTGGATTTTCCTTTCCCCTCAATTTATTTAATTACTTATTTTTTAACCTTCTCATGTATTGCAAATAAGCCATCTAAATCCTTTCTAGAACTGGCTGAAAGTAAGATAAATAAGAGCCCCATGTTACCCATTCCCTCTGCTTCTGACCACCACAGGCTCCATGCTTTTCCTTAAACAGAAACCCCTCGCTCCCTCATCCCTTTCCCAACAGTCCTCCTACCAACCCACAATTCTCATGCTATGGTCCCCATGCTACAGCCATCTCTCTTCCTGTTCATGATCAGCAGCCTTCTCTTGACCCACACTCCCTTCAGTGCTATTGCCGAGGCTGGCTTCTTTTGTCTCTGGCTGTTCATATAACTGGCTCCATCTCATTCTCCATCCTCATTACCTAATTGTCAGACCTTCCCTGGCCACCTTTGTAAGTAAGTTCCCCTGCACCCTGTTATCTCTATCACACTTACCTCGTTCATTTACATATATATTTATCTCTGTGCCTGATTCCTTACTAGATCAGAGATTCACAAAGACAGAACATGTGTCTGTTTCTCCCATCTCACTATACCTAGTACCTAACCCTGTGCCTCAAACCTAGTAGGTCCCTGCCCTTGTCTGTACCATCTTCAGTGTGTGTGTGTGTGTGTGTGTGTGTGTGTGTGTATTTTGATTGAAACAAAATTCACATAACAAACAATCATTTAAAGAGCACAATTCAGTGGTAGTGAGTGCATTTACAATGTTGTGCCAACACCATCTCTTTCTATATAGAACGTTCTTTTAAAAAATATACTATTATTGTTGAAAGTATTACAAATGTCCTCCATTTCTCCCCTTTGCCCACTCCACCCAGCTCACACCCAAAACCGGGCCTTCACCTCACTGTTGTCTGTGTCCATGGGCTTTGCATATGTGCATATAAGTTCTGTGTGTGTGTGTGTGTGTGTGTGTGTGTGTTATTTGATTGAGGTGAAATTCACATAGCAAGCAACCATTTACAGAGCACAGTTCAGCTCAGCTGGTGTTGCTCAGGGCTTGAGCATCAACCTATGAATCAGGGGGCCATGGTTCGATTTTTGGTCAGGGCACATGCCTGGGTTTCAGGCTTGATCCCCAGTGTGGGGCATGCAGGAGGTAGCAGATCTATGATTCTCTCTCATTGTTGATGTTTCCATCTCTCTCTTCCTCTCCCTTCCTCTTTGAAATCAATGAAAATATATTAAAAATAAATAAATAAAATAAAAAGCACAATTCATTGGTAGTTAGTGCATGTACAATGTTGTACCAAAGCCCTCTCTTTCTACATAGAAGATTCTCCATACATGTTTTTTTATTGAATAAATACATAAATAAAATTACTGGAGTAAATCGACTACTTTTTTGCACCTGGTTCACTATAGCCCCATTTTCACATCCTAATGGCCACGAAGGCCTGAGTACATATACTGGAGCACATCAACCTGGCAGAGAGGACAAGACCTTGTCCCAGGGTCTGAGCATCTGATCATTTCCCCAAAGGCAAAAGTGGTAGTGAGAGTGTTGAGCACCCCAACTGTTCTGATGAGGCACACCAGATCCATAGTCTGCAGTAGATGCGTGCACTATATTCAGTATTGGAAGAAAAATATTCTTTTTTACTCATCCCAATAAAGTATAGAAATCATGTACTTCTCAGTATACCAAGACATAGCCGTGACACCCAAATATTCATATTTGCAAGTTTCCTTCCTGGGAGGTGTTTGCTATAGCCAGTTGGAAATTTCCTCTCTTTAGGATTTGCTTTCAAAGCTTGGCTTTCCCATATCCTTGCAATGACTTCAAATGCAAGGTATTTATAATTGGATTTTGTCATTGAATATTTAAAAACAAAGTGGTAAGGTCTAGGGCAGGCAAAGCATTATGAATTATTTAACAAGGGAGGTTATAAGTAAATGGACACATCAACCTTGAAAGCTGAGCATCCTGAGAATAATATATAAATGACTATGCATCTCCATGCCATGATTGGTCTTCAGTGCCATAGAGATGCCCACCCATCCTGAATAAGTTACAATTAATACAAAATTAGAAGAAATGAGAAGAGATTCTCATGTCCCATTCATTTTCCCCTATGAAATTTTATCACCTCCTCTAACTTTCCTCTTCTATTGGCCTAGATTAAGGTTTACTCTTCTCAGTCCTGGTATAATAGTCTGATTAACTTGCCAGTCTCCAGCCCTCCCATCTTCTATCCATCCAACCTTACTCTGAGAGATAGATTAGCCTAAAACACAAAACATATCTCTTCACTTCCCTGACCAAAACCTTTCAGAGTCTTCCCACACCCTATAAAATCCAAATCTCTTAGCCTGGCACTCAGATCCTCTATACTCTGGCTCATCATTCAAACCTGAAATGGAATTCCTCTCATGCCTTTGTCCCAGGAATGCTGTGTGCACCCTGCGTTGAGCCTCTTCCCATTCTATTGGACCCCAAGCCAGCCCATCTTCACCCTGTCAGATCATTATCCTTGCACTTTCTTGGGCCTGTTTGTTTATAATTCTTTTTTCTTGTCCCTGGAAGAGTGCCTGTCATAGACGTGGTGGGCACTTTGGTTTGTTTAAGTGAATGGAAGGGGCCTTAGCACAAACCCTCCCCTGACCTCAGCTTCCCAATAAGTAGGAATCTTTCCCTCTGAATAGCCATCACGCTTTACTTCTTTTTCTAACATAAATTTGTACTTTCTAATTCACATCTTCCCCCAAAGACTGTTTAAGTCCCTTAAGGATCAGTCAGTGTAATCAGTGATTAATCTTTGTTGCCTCTGTAGGATATAGTGTAGTGCCTTGTGTTTTAAAAACCAATGTGCACACACTTGGGAAGTTTGAACTGATTTTTTAAAGGAGTTGTTTGTTCAATCTGTTTTTAAGTACTTGGATGGTGGTCAATAAGTTATTTGTTTGTTAAGATGTAGTGAATCAGTGATTTAAATGCTCATGTACTGATTATCGCGATCAGTATGTCAATCCATGTTCCTTTAGGGAGGTCAGGGAAGGGGAGGGGAATGACTGTTAGATACCAGCTTATAGCATCTATGGACAATGGTTACCACTGCTACTCCTTTAAGAATCACTAGTAGCTAGCAAATAGGAAAAAATAGAGGTTATGAAATTGGTATCATTCTATATATAACTCAAAATGGAAATTTGCCAATACCTGGTTATTTGTGCACTTTAAATGACTCAGCACAATTACTGCAGGTCCAGTTTTTTGCTTGTTTGGGAACTTTTGGAAAGGGCTATAATCTTCCCTTTGTCATATTCACCGTAATGACTTCTGAGACGCTGATAAATTATAACCCAAGTTACTGCTTATTCTTTCCATATTAGGTACGTTTCAAATTAAACATAACTTGAAGTACACTGATCCTCACACTAAAATGTAGGCTGTTTTTATGAAAAGCCATAGGATCAACTTTGGAAGCCCAGTGTGCGCACAGGGCCTGATTGACGACAGCTGTGAGCAGCAATGTGCGAGGTAGTTGGACAAGTGCTGATGATACGATGTTGTTTCCCTTTTAGAAAAGCAACAAGCTGGTCCTCCGCTAGTAATTGGAAAAGGACTTCAGAGAGTAGCCGCTCACGTAACAGGGAAAACTCGAAGCACGACCGCATTCCCAGTTCCAAGTAAGAGAAACAACAAATATATGGTTTTAAAGGAAGACAATGGAAAACTATGTTCCAAATAATTTATTCTTTTAACTTGTACCTAAAATGTGTATATAGCTACCTACAAAATGCTCAGCAGGAATCAGATCTCAGACTGACTCTCTTCAGAAACAAGATGATAAGACAAATAGCTCAATTACTGCCCTGGCATAACTGGCCGCAGGGAAATGATAACGTGGGAGAATGTTATCGTTGAGTTTCCCATGCCCCCATTTTTGCTTTTTTCTTCTTTAAAGTCATTTCTCTTTCTCACTTTGATCAAATTTTTTTTCTTCCAAGTTCTAAATTCATCATTTGCTTTCACTATGAGTCACTGAGTATTCTTGTGACATTATATTTGTTTGAACTGCAGGAAGTTGCCAATAATTGACTATTTTTTACTTACAAAGTGTTGGTTTCACATAGTTTAACCAAATATGTTAAACCTAATTTTAACTGTCAGAGCAGATGTCCACAGAGTGCTGTAGTTAAGTACAAGGGTATTATAGTCTAAATACCCACGTTGGAATCCCAGCCCTCCTTACCCAGACATATGTTTGAGCAAATTACTTAACCAAACTAAGCTTCAGTTGCTTACACAAAATAGAGATAAACTTTATACAAAGTAGAGACCATCTTTACCTCATAAAAGAGAAACACATGCAAAATGCCTGATGTATTGTAAGTACTCAAGAAGTCGCTTGCATTATTGTGAAAGGTTTTGTCCCAAGGTAAAGAAATTTCAGGCAGTAAATGGGTGAAAGCATTATTGGGGTGTTTTGAGGGGTTTGTTGATTGTTATGGTTTTTTTTTCTAGGTAGTTGCCTTCCTATCATATTCCTGGATTTATGTTTTATAAATAATTAACATGTTTTGCATATGAGTGAGATCATTATTCCCATATTACTGTTTACTGCTCATCAACCAATGTGACAGTTATTTTAAACTCTTGAAAAACTGAATTTTATATCAGTCATGAAGGTGACCCCAAAGTTTAAAGGAATATCATATTTTGCAGGACCTTTTTTCATTCAGTCCCTAGGACTTAGAGGATCTGGAGCTCTTTAAATCTGGGATCTCTTTGCCAAACCTGTGCTCTAGTTGTAGACTAGAGATGCCTTCAGTTGGGATGGTGCCTTTGACTGCTGAGAAAGACCAAGGAGGGAATCCAAAGCGATCCAAAGGAATAGCAAGAAGTTCAGAGCCCTAGGCTGAAGGACGTAGATACGTTTCTCTTAGTTTCCCTATATACCGTTCGTTTGAGCTCACCAGCACAGGAGAGAGGTAGGGGTTCGGGACAGAAGTTCTGCCCTAGAGTAAAGATTGCCGTCTCAGTGAATCATCTCAGAGCTAAGTGTGGCAGCTGTGGCATGGGTGGCAGGCAAGGTACAGAAAAATAAGGCACTCCTAGCACGCCTCAATAATACAGAAGCCTTCAGATTTCACACTGACTAGATTTTAGAATCCTTGTAAGATTAGAGGAGCGAGAAATTTTATATTTGATTGAAATCCTTTGCAGGTACCAACCAAAAATAGGCTAGCGACAGCTGTTGGAAACACCTTGCTTTGCTACAAACTCCCTTTTGTAAACTTTCTTTCTCTCTAACCTTCCTCCAGATGCCAAGGATGAAAACATTTTGGGCCATAAAATAACCTCCTGGGAGTCATCAAGAAGAGGACATTCATTCTTAAGTAATTTGCACCTGAGGAATGGAGAGTTAGTTATCCATCAAACAGGGTTTTATTATATCTATTCCCAAACGTACTTTCGATTTCTGGAACCTGAGAATGATTCAACAGTAGGCGTCAGAAAGAAAAACAAACAAATGGTACAATATATTTACAAAGTCACAGACTATCCTGAACCTATACTGCTGATGAAAAGTGCTAGGAATAGTTGTTGGTCTAAAGATTCACAATATGGACTCTATTCCATCTATCAAGGTGGAATATATGAGCTTCAAGAAAATGACAGAATTTTTGTATCTGTAACGAATGCGCAATTGGTTGACATGGACCAGCAAGCCAGTTATTTTGGGGCCTTTTTAATTGGCTAGATGATCTGCACTTTTGTTTTAATCTTCATGCAAATATGTTTATTTTTACATATATATACATATATACATATATACATATGTATATACTAGAGGCCCAGTGCACGAATTTGTTCACCAGTGGGGTCCCTCAGTCTGGCCTGCGGGATCGGGCTGAAACTGGTTCTCCAACATCCCCCAAGGGGTCCTGGTTTGCAACAGGATGCAGGCCAAGCCGAGGGACCCCACTGGTGCACAATCGAGGCCGAGGAGGGACCGCTGGAGGGCTCCAGGGTATGTCCGGCTCGTCTCACTCAGTCCTGACCAGACCCCAGGAGCAAGTTAACTTACTGGTCTGAGCGTCTGCTCCCTGGTGGTCAGTGCATGTTACAGCGAATGGTCGACTGGTCGACTGTCTGCCCTCTGGTGGTCAGTGCACATCATAGTGAGCAGTTGAGTGGCCTTAGCATATCATTAGGATATTATGCTTTGATTGGTTGAATGGATAACCATATGACTGGACACTTAGCATATTAGGCTTTTATTATATAAGATACATGTGTACATATGTATATATACATGTATATGCATATATGCATATGTAAAAATAAACCTATATATGTATATATGTAAAAATAAACATGTATACATATATACATGTTTATTTTTACATATATACATATGTTTATTTTTACATATATACATATATACACACATATACATATATGTGTATATATGCATGTACATATATATACATGTGTATATATGTATATATGTATATATGTATATATGTATATATGTATATATGTATATATGTAAAAATATATGTATACACAAATATATATATATATCAATTGCTTCCTCACACACCCAGACCAGGGATCAAACCCAAAACCTAGTATGTTCCCTGACCGGGAATTGAACCTGCAACCTTTCTGATAAGCCAGAAGATGCTCTAACCAACCAATCCATCCAGCCAGGGAAACACATTATCCTCACCTGAGGATGTTTTTCCATTGATTTTTTAAAGAGAGTGTGGGGGAGGGAGACAGGGAGAGAGAAACATCAATGTGAGAGAGACACATGGATTGGTTGCCTCTCACATGCTCCCCATCCAGGGTCAGGGATCGAACCCACAACCGAGACAGCTGCAAAGTAGCAACCCTGCATGAGTGTATTTCCATCCACGTTGGCCAAGCTAGTGTCCAGATCGGCAATGCCTGCTGGGAGCTCTACCACCTGGAACATGACATCCAGCCAGATGACCAGATGCCAAGCGACATGACACTGGGGAGTGGGAGGGAGATGACTTCTTCAACACCTTCTTCAGTGAGAGGCGCTGGCAATCATGTGCCCAGGTCAGTGTTTGTAGACCTAGAACCCACAGTCATTGATGAAGTTTGCACTGGTACCTATTGCCAGCTCTTCCAATCTGAGCAGCTCATCACAGGCAAGGAAGATGCTGCCAATACCTATGCCCATGGATGCTACACCATTGACAAGGAAACCATCAACCTCGTCTTGGACCGAATTCAGAAACTAACCAGTGCATAGGTCTTCAGGGCTTATTGGTTTTCCACACCTTGGGTGGCACTGGTTCTGGGTTCATCTCCCTGCTGATGGAACATTTTTCTGTCAATTATGGCAAGAAGTTCAAGCTAGAGTTCTCCATCCACCCAGCCCCACAGGTTTCCACAGCTATAGTTGAGCCCTACAACTCCATCCTCACCACCCACACCACCCGGGGCTCTGATTGTGCCTTTATGGTTGGAAGCAAGGCCATCTACGACATCTATCATAGAAACCTTGAGATTGAGCACCCTATCTATACTAACCTGAATAGGTTGATCAGTCAAATTGTGTTTTCCACCATTTCTTCCCTGAGATTTGATGGAGCCCTGAATGTTGACCCCACTCTGCTGAGATCTGGCTCCAGGTAGCATCTGGGACAGACTAAGTTGTGTGGCTCTAGGACAAGGGACATTTTTCTCTCTCATGCCCGAGCAGCGCAGAGCCCTTCACAGAGCCAAATCTCGGTCTGTTTGGGCCTAAAGAACTCTGCTGACCTCACCCTGATGACTCCCTGAAATCCTACCAGGCCACAAAGGTTTGTGAGCACTTAACATGTGGCAACTAGACCCTGGGACATTTGCTGAGTGGCCTCAGACCCAGCACCGGCACAGATTATCAGTCTGGTGAACACCACTCATTCCTACTCATTGAGAATCTACCTCATGCAACTGGAGTATCTCCAGATGCTCTTTCAATGCCTGAACCTAATCAATGGACACAGACAATAGGGGGTGGGGACATATCATATGTGTGTGTGTGTGTGTGTGTGTGTGTGTGTGTGTGTGTGCGGGGTGAGGGGGAAGGCTCTGGCAGGAATGTGTGGGGAGAGGTCAATGGAGGGAAAATATGTAAAACTTTCAACAATAAAGAATTTTTTTAAAAAAAGAAATGCTGATGCCTGGGCTTCGCCACAGACCTACTGAATCAGAATCTTTGGAGAGGGGCCCAGAATCCTTTTGTGGTGGTGTTGTAATTTCCCCAAGTGATTCTGTTACAGCTAACTGGGCACATATCCACTGGCAGGCAGTTGAAAATCACGAATAGAGTCTCTAAAGTTGAGGAAACTAAATTTCAAAAACTGATTTATAAATTAAGACCCTGAGGAAACAATGTATCAGGTCACCATTATGGTTAGAAACTCAAAAATACAATTCACATGCAACGTTTCAATTGTATAATTTGTTTAAAAATAGGGATGCCTACGTGCTCCATTCTCTGCTTTAGAGATTAAGTTCAAGATACAGGTGGCAACTATGAAATGGATACCTGAGAATGACAATTTTATGGCCAGCTGTTAATTCTTTCCTAAAGGGCATGAGTACTGAATATTGGATCTTTTTGAAAATTAAATAAGATGGAGCTCAGAGAAAATGGCGACCAGCAGGAAGGTAGGGAGGGAGAGAGTGTGAGAGTGCAAGGAAGTGATAGAGGAGTGTGTGGACGTGTGTGGTGTGTGTGTATGAGCTAGGGACAGTTAGATTCTGCAGGTCTTCTAAGGGGCTGCTAAACCGGGCAGTCTTAGGCAGCAGAGTCCCGCTCCCTGCGCGGACACTCCTGGGTGGCCAGCACAGGCACGGCGACCACGCCATCTTGGGAAACAGAGCTGCTTGAGACTAGGATCCTGGCCTCAGCACCACCCAGTCTGATCTCAGACGCATACCAGGACCCTGCAGCCACTGGGGACAGAGACCTGTGACCATAGCTACAGACCTGCGGACACCAAAAGTTCAGAAATCCCAGCGGCAGATCTGTGAGTAACAGAGCCCATCTCCCCTTCCCGCAGGCTCTCAGGCAGTGCCAGAGTAACTAACTGATAGACCCACCCTTGACGGGGCCTCAGCGCTCCAGGAACTTTAGCCTGGAAGTGCACGAGCACCTTGGAACTGATCCCGTGCACTGCCGGCTTCTGAGCCCTGGGCTGGGAGCAAACGCACGAACCCCAGGAACTGAGCCTATGCACACTGCCGGCTTCAGAGCCCTGGGCTGGGAGCAATCGCGCAAATACCGGGAATTTGTCCTGCATATCACGGGCCCAGGGACCCCGATTCTCTGGGCAGGAAGCAGCACCAAGCACCAGTGACTTGACTGTGTTTCTTATAACCTGCGCCTGAGATCCTGATTTCCTGTGCATTCATACTAAGAGCCAGTGATTCCAATTCCTGGTGCAAGGGCACACAGGGACCCTGATTCTCAAGGCAAGGTCGCGCGAAGCAACAGAGACTCTGATACTGGATTCTTGGGGAACTCTGACTCCTGGAGCACGCTAGGGGGCTCTGGTTTTCAACACACTTCAGGGGGGTCTCTGTTTCAGCACGGTACAGGCAGGGTCCCTGATTCTAAGGGCGCATACGAGGCCACATTGAGTGCCGACAACACTGACTCTGAGCAAGCCTGGTTCCCACCAACCCACAACAACCACACATCTTAGTGTCAGAGCTCTTCAGTGACACTAGGGTGGCAGGAGGCTCCCACTGCACACGGCCCAGGCCCATGCAACTTGAAGTTTGAACCATTGGGAGATAATCAGAATGAAGAGCCGAAACAACACCCAGAGGAAAGACAATGAGGAGTCGCCAAGAAAGGAAATTAATGAAGTTGAAACATGCAACATGACAGAAAAAGAATTCAGAATAATGGTTGTACAATTCATTCACCGGATGGATGAGAAAATCAACAACCTATGCAAGAATCAGGAAGAAATGAAAAGTGATATGGCTACAATCAAAAACACCATGGAAAGTTTCAACAGCAGACTAGAAGAAGCAGAGGACCAAATTAGTGAATTAGAAGATAAGGCAGAGAAACAAGCTCAATCTGAACAGCAACTGGAGAAAAAAATTAAAAAGCAGGAGGAGAGCCTAAGGGAGCTTCGGGACAACATGAAATGAAGTAACATACACATAATAGGGCTGCAAGAAGGACAAGAAGAGCAGCAAGGATTAGAAAATCTATTTGAAGAAATAATGTCAGAAAACTTCCCAGATATGGGGAAGAAAAAAGTTACACAAGTACAGAGAGTCCCAGGCAAGATGAACCCCAAAACACCCACACCAAGACATGTCATAATAACGATGGCAAATGTACAAGACAAAGAGAGAATCTTAAAGGCTGCAAGAGAGAAACAGAGAGTTACCTACAAAGGATCCCCCATCAGATTATCAAATGATTTCTCAACAGAAACACATCAGGCCAGAAAAGAATGGACAGAAATTTACAAAGTGATGCAAAGCAAAGGACTGAATCCAAGAATACTCTATCCAGCAAGGCTATCATTCAAAATTGAAGGGGAAATAAGAAGCTTCACAGACAAAAAAAAGGCTAAGGGAGTTTATCACCACCAAGCCAGCAATGCAAGAAATGCTAAAGGGACTGGTGTAAAAAGAAGAACTAAAAAGCCCAGAAAGAAAACAGCCACAAAAAAATAGAAATGGCTACAAACAAGTACCTTTCAATAATAACTTTAAACATAAATGGACTAAATGGTCCAATCAAAAGACATCGAGTGGCTGAATGGATAAAATAACATGACCCATATATTTGCTGTCTACAAGAGACCCACCTCATTAGAAGGGACTCACACAGACTGAAAGTGAAGGGATGGAAAAA